TGAGGAGGCTGCTGCACAGCTCTGAAGCCTCATCCAGCAAAGGAAGGGCTTCCTGGGGGCCAGCTTAAGACAGAAACGCAAGCCCTCACATTTACCTTGAAAATGCTGGTGTATACAGATGTGTGCTCCATTAACCAGAAAACACCTAATTGCTGATTCTGCGTTAGCATTCTGGGTGCACGTACTTCAGCTGAAATTTGTTTTTGACTCTTATTTCAGTCACTATATCCAAAGGTTGCGTTTTATTTTCTTTCCAAAATTACTAACACATTGATATTCCGTAATCAAGAAGATCAAATGCAATTCCTGAATTCAGTCTAAGTAATGAGTAATTTTATATACATAATCCCATAGCTACAAAAACATACAGTTCACTGATTTTTCCATACTTGACTGAGTGATTCATTAACTGAGTTTTGAAATCATCAACTCAGGCAAAAGGATAATTGGGTCAACGCTAGGACAGTTTCAAACGTGTTTGGTTGCTTGGTTCAGTTTTATCATGGATGTAAATCATTTGTTGTGTGATATTCTTAATGGGGGTCCAGAAAATATATTTCTTGTGATGTTAAAATATTGGTCAAGAATCTTAGAAGCCTACTGGAGTTACACTCACTCAGCGCATTTAAGGCAAAAAGGCCGTCTAGAAGTTTTCCAAATGAAGCTATGCCTATTATATGAAAGAATGCACGGGTCAGAACTCTTTAAACTGAGGAAGAGATCTATCATGTCTGCTCTCTCATAACGAAAAGGACATCTGTTACTTTGGGGGAGGCATTAGGCAGAGTATTTCTGGGGTTTTCCAGAGGAAGTTTTTTTCTCAAGCCTAGTTCAGCTTCTGCTTCACAGAGACACGGCGGTTGCTCCTGCATCCTTGGGAGAAGTAGAAACGGAGGGCACTCACTTGTAGGGTGGCCAAGCATGGAAAGGCCCACGTCCCAGGAAAGCCCTCAGTCCCAGGACTGTCGGTCCCCCGACTTTAGTCGAGGCCTAACACAGCGGGGCCTTCACAGCTGGCTGCAAAGTCACGCCTGTCCTCGTAGGACATTCAGTTCTCCAACGGTGTTCCTACACAGGAGCGGGCACCAAGGCTCACGTCATATTCATCCTGTGTCAGGAGGGAGATGTGTGTGGGTGTCAGCGGGAACATCACTCATCAGGGCAGGCTGTGAGCCTGATGGGCTGACCTCCTAGAGTGCCATGTCTGGGCCCGATGGCAGATCACGCGGTCATTTTGTTTTCCCCTAGGCATGTGCCTCTGTGATTAGTCCTATTGATTTCTGTGCCTGGAGGATGACAGAAGACATAAAATATCTGTGTTTGGGTTTGCTGTGACTGAACTGCCTGCTGCAGGACGGAGATGGAGAAAAGCTATCTAAAAGTGTGATCATTTCCTAGCCATCCTTCCGGGGGCGTTTAGAAAGATTTTTTTTTTCCCTTCTGCTTTAATGTATTATGGAAGAAAAATGGCGTCTCTGTAAACAAAAGTCTCTCTAGGACTTCATATGTAATGGAGCTCAGTGAATATTTGTTGAATAAATGAACCAATTAAAACAGGGTAGCGAATGACAGCTTGCAGCCCAGATCCAGCCTGCCACCTGTTTTGCACAGCTCATGAGCCAAGAATGGTTTCTTACCACTTTTGAAGGCTTGGAAAAAAATAAAAGAAGAATATTTTGCGACATATGAAAATCATATGAATTTCAAACTTGAGACTTCAAACTTCAAACTAAAGTTTTATTGAAAAACAGCGATCCCCAGTCATTTACATATTGACTATGAATGCTTCCCTCGACAATAGCAGAGTCAAATACTTGCACCAGAGCCCTGTGGCCCACAAATACTACAATTACTCTGTGGCCATTGACAGAAAAAGTTTGCCAAGCTTTAGGAGCTATGAAGGTAACCAACTGCATTTTTTTTGGTTAAGCCAAATTAGACTAAAACCTCAGATAACACACACAGAGAATTTCTCTCAAACTGGGCTTGTGATTACTGCAAGATTCTCACATACTTGATAAAGAGATTGTGGTTTTTAAATGGGTCGACTGGAAAACATGGATGCTTTTCAAACACCACGAACTACTCTGGGTACATAAAACTCTCTTTCCCTTCTCAAGGCCTGGCCCCTCTGGATTGGAGGTCAGCGGGGCAATAGGACAGAGAAAGTTGAGGGCTTCTCGCAATGCTCTCTGTGGTTAGAGCCCTCTCTTGGTGACTGGTAGCTGCTCCTCTGACTAGCGTTGGCTGTCGACACCCTTCATGTCGCTGGTAGCTACATGCTGGCTCTCCTGTGAAACTTACATGCGAGTTCTTTGGTGGCAGGAGGGGAGGGCCCCCTGAGGAGCCACCCTGCCACACGGTAACGTACATGGATGGTCTGGCTGAGGGTCTCCTGTGTAAGGCGCCTGCAAGACCAGCTGCTCTTCAAGATGTCCACTTGACCGCATCACAGCGGGGAGGAAGGAAACTCTCACCAATCACGGCCTTTCCAGCCAGGTGACAGTTCTCTCTCCCACCCTTTCTGGCCTTCTCACGCAGACTGGGGAAGGAGGGGGGAGCAGGAGGAACCTGTGGCTGGCAGTAGTTGATCGCATCGCGCCTCCTCCTAGAAAGTTCTGGGGGATCCCGCTTGTTTGCCCCTCACTTTAGAATGTGGTCTGAGTGTCCATTGGCCAGTATATCACTGATAGGTCACAGTCTAAATCTGGAATGTAGCTCGTTACAGATCAGGTAACCTGGATTCTAAGTTCCATGAGAAAAGAGAACTTGTCTGGGTTGCCTCCTGCCGTGTCTCCATGACCTAGCCCAATGCCTGGCTCATGGGGGGGTGCTCAGTGACAATGTGTTCAGTGAGTGACTGGGGGAATCTTCAGACTTAAAGGAATTTTACTAGTGAAAAAAAAAAAAACACATAGGCCTTGGATGTTACTGAGGTGGCGAGCATGTCATCCTAAAATGGACTCTTTTAATCTCAGGACAATAAATTTATCTTTATAAAAGTGGCAAGTGACTTTATTTTAAGCAAATAAATCTAAGCACAATGACACTGCAGTTCACAGAGTTGCAATGCAGCTGGTTGTGGAGTTCTTATTGTCACCAATACCTTCAAATTCATTAAACCAGAATTTTGAAATAATAATGTATTTCTCACTAACGAAAAAGTGCATGCATTAGAAAAATTTCCTGTGCTTTCCCATCAGTTTAGTCATCTGTCTGCCATATGTATACTCGCCTAGAAATTTAGCTCTTATATATTAATCTCTTTTTTATTGGGCTTCTCGGCCGATATGTGTGTTAACATCTATATCTTACACAAGATAAATTCCCTTTCTATTATAATAAAATATCCCATTTTCTTAGCCACCAAGGAAATTTGGAAAAGCACTCATCATTTTAATAACACCATAAAATTCTCTCTTTAAAAATTGGCATCCATTTACTTGCCTGAGTGCTTTAGTTTTGTTTTGTTCTTTTTTTTCTTCCATTTCAGCATTTGCTCATGGATCATTTTTTGTTTCTAGATACATTTGTGTTTCTTTGTGGATTATTTTCCTTATTTGATTGCTCTATTATAGAATTTTTTTTTTTCTTGAGAAAATGAAAGAGTTTCTTGGAGACCAATTTACTGCTATAGTAACCACATTTGGGTTTTTTCCTGGATCTTCAAAAAGAACTATAATTGATGCACTGAAATTAGACAAGTTTCGTTCATCTCATAGTTTCTTAAGTTAACCCTAACTCATACTTTCTAGTGGTTGAGGAACAAAATCTTTGAAGAGTTCATGCCCTTTGCAAATTACCAGAGCTTTCTTTTTTAGAAGTATCCAAGGATAATTTCCCTTGGCTTTTCACAATTAGACAAATTAACTTAAGACAGTCTCCAAAATTTTATTTTAGAAAATTATGGGTTATAATTTCTCATAGACATTATGAATCATGCCGCATCTCCCAAGGCTAGGCAACCCAATTAAATTTATTGGAATTTAACAATTGTTGAGCATTAACTAGGTAGCAAATGTCCTGTAGGGCACTGGGGATGTATAAATACCTGAAACATGATTCCTGCCCTCGAGGAGGAGACCTCTAATTAATTGCACTATATTTATGACTGTGCAAGTGGAGGAAGTGTGAAGGAATGCGGTGATGGCGGTAAGGGATAGCCATTGATCCTGAGTGGCAGGATTTATGCATAGAGGAAGGTATGTAAAGTAGATCCTCCTTTGTCCCTGGAAACCCTAGACCCTCCTGATGAACACTTGCTTTCCAACCTGCAGATGCAGGAATATCCATTTCCTGGATGGCTGTCATGAACCGCAACCTCAAAATTTGCTTCTGCCCTTCCTCAGTTGCCCCTCCAAGGTGGCATCAGAAATGTCCTGGCTCGTGTTAGACCAGAAGCACTCATCTTTTGGAGATTGGAGATCCATTTGAGAATCCAATAAATAGCGTCGATTTATTCCTCCACCCAGAAAAATCCACGTGTATAGTATCAGAATGTCCCTCGACCACCACCTTCCTTGCCTTGCCAATCTCCTTTTTAGAGCCCTGGCAGCTGGATATGCTGGCTCCCTTCCTCACCCTTTGTCTGGATATGCTGGCTCCCATCTTCACCCTTTGTCTCTATCAAAAAGTAACATTGAAGAGCCAAGTATACGAGCAACTCAGTCTTACCCCTTTCCATCATGCCACTGGAAGCTGAGGGCTGCCCACCCCATAGTAAGAAGGCACAAGGGTAGAACTGGAAACTAGTCCTTCTCCCATCCTTTGTACTAGAGCAGCTAACTGTCCCTCTGACTGTCTTCTCTTATTACCTAAGTTGGTTGTTCCTGCCAATCTAATGAATGAGTAGTGCTCTAGCTATGGCTGCCTCTGTGGAAG